AACATGTGGTAATAGTAAAGTGGTAGGGTTTGAATGTGGTTTGCTCCCTCTAAAAGGCATGTTTAAATTTAATTCCAAATGGTGTTGAGAGGTGGGGGAGCATTGGGAAGTGATTAGGTCATGAAGAGGGATTCATTTCTTTCTTGTGGGAAGGGGTTCATTCTCACTAGAGCTGGTTGTTAGGAAGTGCTCTGTGTCTTGCTCATGCACCCACTTGGCTTTCTGCTTTTCTGCCAAGTTATGATCGAGCCCAAAGCCCTCCCCAGAGACTGAGAAGATGTCTGTGCCTTATTCTTGGACTCTCCAACCTTCAGAACCATGAGCCAAAATAAATCTCTGTTCTAGTCTCAGGTATTCTGATATAGGGATAGAAAAGAGACAAAGACAAACAGTAACATAGTACAGTGATAATAAGTAACATTTTGACCTTTTACTCTATGTCAGGTACTGGACTACATGGTCACATAGATTGTTTCACTTCGTATCCATAACACCTGTATGAGGTAGGTACTGTCATTATCTCATTTAGAAGAAGAAGAGGAAACTGAGACACGCAGAGGGTACCTGATTTGCCTATGGCTCACAAGAATGGTAGATGATGGAGACGGAACTTGAATCAAGCGATTGATTCAAACCTTCTTCCACAACTGAAATTTATTGCTTTTCAAAATCTGGACAATGTACTAAACATTATCTGTGGATATATTCACTTATTTCTCACAAGCACTCTGTGATATAAATGGTAAATATCCAACTAACAGATGAGAAATGGAAGCTTAAAATGATTACATTTTTTTGCCTGTGATCACACAGTTAGAAAGTGGCAGGGCCCCACTTTTAACTGCTATGCTATGTTAATATCCTGCATCAAAGGGAAATACATCTATTAAAAACTTTTCATGTGGGCCATTGATTGAGCTCAGTGGCACAGCGCCTGCCTTGCAAGCAGGACATCTTGAGTTTGATCCCCGGTACCAAAAAAAATTAAAATTAAAAGTAAAATAAACACTTTTCATGTACTTGGAGTTGTTCTCAAACAAACCTTTGTTACCATTCCTGTTTGGGTCTTAAAGAAGCTGAGGTTAAGAGACACTAACTACCTTAATCAGGATCGTACAGTTACTAAGTAGTAGAAATGAAGATTTGTACCCAGCTGTGTCTGACTGTGAAGGTCAGACTCTTTGCTACTGGGTCACCAGCAAATTTCTTAACTCCACAGACCTTGGCCAGATGCCTTTAATACCTAGGGTCAACCACCAGTACCACAAAAAAAAAATTTTGTTAGAATTCTGGGGAACACAGGGTTTGAGGTGAGAAGGACATGCTGCAGCTGCCTGGAGGTGACAGAATCTGCTCTTTGTTCCAAAATCTGGATAATAAGATTACTACTATGCCAACCTCAGAGCTGGGGCAGCCCAGATAGGGGGACAGAAATAGCCAATACAAAGAGCACAGGCTAAATAAGCTAGGTATGTCCTAGTGCTGAAGGAGCAATGAGGACAACCAAAAAAGAGGAAATATGAAAAAGGAACAAATGAAAAGCTCATCATTTTCCTGCAGTATCCAGATGAGAGATCTTGTTGGTTTGGGCTGGTGAGATGGCAACAGAGAGGGGGAGAGAGATGTCCACGTATATTTCAGGTGTCAAGCAGGCAGATCTCATTGATAGGAAGCAAGAAAAAAAGAATTTGGAGCTATTAATTTTGTTTCCTCCACAGGATTATGAGCATCACAAAGGCAGGGACCATACTCGTTTTGTTAGCTGACACAGGATGGAAACTCAATGAACGCGGTTGCATGAATGAAGTTATAAACAAAATATGGGGAACATGTAGGGGAAGGTCAGGGCAGGCATCACAGAAGCAGCAATACCCTTAGAGCAGTGAGGGCAAATGTTTAAAGCTTTCAGTGATAACAGACGGCTGGCTATGGCACGTGTGCCACAGTTTCGCCACCCCTGCCTCAGAGGATTCCAAAAGGTGAGCTGAAGTTTGGCAGGTAAGTAAGGCAGGGGATGAAAGGGCAGCACTGCAAAGGAGGAAGAAATCACAAAATACACCAGCGTGTCACTGAAGTACTTGATCTGCCGAAGGTAAATTGTCAGTTCTGTAACTGGGCTGGATTCTAGAGAAGCCAGAACAGAAAACACACTATTCTCTTTGTCCTACTCTGACACAAATACAAAGGATGAGAACTCCAATGAAGGAAAGAAGGAGAAAAAGATACCCAGATTCAGAAAATTCAAGCCCAAAGCCATACTGGTTCCTGCAGAAGGTAGAAAGCTGTCAGGTGCAGTCCTTGAAGAGGTTTTCAGATCTCATTGAAGTCAAACATCACCTCCCCAACATCCAAGGCTCCCCTTGACTTTTTGATGCATGGGGAAGCAACATTTGATCTAAAGGACACATTCAAAGAAAATACCTTTGTAGATCCTACGGGAAAGATCCAGAGAGGATCTGAGGCAACCCAAGGACAAAAGATTCCCCCAGCATAGACTGCTATGTTCGCTTAAGTCATTTCATACCAAGCCTGGCCATTTGAGGAAATGAATGTACCACACAGATATCCCTTGGAAATAAGCACTTAATAGAATATAAATTAAAGTCTTGTAGATCAAAGACACAGAAAGAGAGGAAACACTGACAATGAGGAAAGACGGAGAAAAAAGGAGAGAGAGATGGATACTAAGAAAAGAAGGGAACGTGAAAAAGAACACTAGCTAAACATCAGACACAGAGAAAGGGTGTGTGTGATGCTATTTGTCAAAGGGAAAGAAGGTAGATGTTTTTGTTCTTTTTAGGTTAATATGTAAATGACATTCTGATTTATTAGCGGTCTCCAGCAGATGAGGTGATGATTAACACATTTCCATATTTATAGGAAAACAACACTAACTTTCTGGATTTATAGAAAATCAGCTCTTCACAAATAGCAAATTGTGCTATTATCGACATATGGTTTTCTATAAACAGAGCTGAGGTAATTATCCCTGGGACAATTTGTCGGTGGGCTTCTTTTGAATATTAACCACATTGTTAGCCCATTTCTGCCTCACAGATTTTAAAGAGGAAGGGCCTGCAGATATCCCGGACAATTAATTAGTAACCCAACACTGCAGCACAAATGAAAGGCAACCCTAAAACTGCCAAGTGCAAAACACAGGGCCAGGGATGTGAGGCCAGGTTTCAGCAGCTCTTGGTAAAATAATTCACCTGTCTGATGAGCCTCACCTTCACCCTCCCTCTACTTCCAAATGCTGGCAAGAAAAGAGAGATGTAATTACACCTGGACTCTAGTAAGAGCTCAACAAATATTAATTCTTTTTCTGTTCTCACATTTTCAATGATTCTAAAAAGGCCCAGCTGAAGACTTTTTCCAGCTTTTTAAAATAATGCTCCATAGTAAGTTATTTAGTTTGTATTATGATATAGTACATGTACACATGTCTGTATTTAACTGGAAAAGTTTCCTGAAGGAATATACTTTACCTTCAGTGCCTAAAGTCCAGTTGTTTTCTATTCTATTCTTTGGGGTTGCTTTTCTTCAAAATTTTGCTCCTGATCCACACATCGATTTTGAGACCTGCTATTGAACTGCAACCTGCAGTTGTGAAAATATTGGCTGCGAGTGAATAGGAACCACCACCACATCCCGGGCACAAACATACTGGATGCTCCATAGAGCACCTTGAATTATTTCTATTTGAAAAAGGAGTAGAAAGAATAGATAGGCAGATGGACAAATTAATGAATAGCCCTAGCCTGTAAGATAAATTAATGCTCCTTCTTCTGTTTTGCATGCTTACTCTATATTAAGCTTTGTATTGAGAGCAAAAGAAATAGAAAAGTGGTGGACATGATATTTGCTTTCACATAGATGAGAAGAAAATATCAGCATTTGGAAAATTGTTGTTTAAAGACAAAAAAAAACATTGAATACATATGAATGTATTGAAGAAAAGGAGAATCCAGCCTGGGCTGGTACACTACTCATGGAAGAATCTTGAAATGGGAAATTTGAACTTAGCTTTTCAGTATGGGTAGCTCTGTCATAGTCCACCACTCATTGACCAGGTCACTGGCTCTAAAACTCTAGCAAGCATCAGAATTGCTGGCAGGGTATGAAAACATAGATTTCTAGGCTCACTCCAGGAATTTTTTATTCAGTTAGCTTTGAGGTGAGGTCCAAGAATTTGCCTTTCTAACAAGTGGCCAGTTGGGACCCATACTTTGAGAACCACTGTTCTAGTAGGTTAAGAGAGATCATGAAGGTTGTTGATGTCATTCTTCTTGGTCATTCAATGTACTAGGCAAGGAAGTGATGCTATGGGATATGTGATGTGAAAAGATCAGGCTGGTGGCCTTTGTTAAGAGGGCCTGGAAGGGGCATTTAGGAGCCAATCAGCATGAAAGATAGGATCAAGCCTATCACTAAAGGAGGGGCAGAGAGCGAAGCAGGGCAGATGAGAAAGAGCTGAAAGGCCCTGGAGATTACGGGGCAAAGGGGAAGGAGGAATTTGAGATGCTTCTAAGTTTTTAGTTTCACTGACTGACTACATAGAAATTCAATTAGCAAAGAACCTACATTTAGGGAGGGTAGTTCAGTGGTAGAATTCTTGCCTGACATGCATGAGGTCCTGGGTTCAATCCCCAGCACTGAAGAAAATAAAAGGCCTACATTCAAAATAAGCTTTCACATTTTAAATAACAAAATCTCCAAAATTCTTTATTGTTAACAAGGTAACTGTGAGGTAGTAGGAACACATACTATGAGAGGCCACTAGACAAGTCTGAGTTCAAATCCTGTCTGTTATGCTTACCAGCAAGTCATTCCAATGGATCTCACTTCTCTGGAAATAATGACACTCATGTTACCTTACAGGGTTGTCATGGAAACTCAAGGAGACAGCCCAGGTCTCAGAGTCAGGGCTAAGCCAACAGTAAAGCTCACCCCGACTTGTGTGTTGGCCACATTGTGCAAGCAGATTCTGCTCCACTTACCAAGAGATTCCATTTTTGCTTTGTCAAGCACCAGGATGTATTCATAGGTGCCACCCATGGATCCAGACGTGATGTAATGTGTGCCATAGTCATCAATGAACTTGGAGTACATGCCGTAATCATACTGCTCTGGAAGCTCCATCAGCGACTGCAACATCCCCTCATCCAGCATAATCTTGTGCCTCCTCATCTTAAAGTGGGCGGTCTGCACCTTGGTGAAAATTCTCATGAAGCCGTATCTCTGCCACGGATGACCACCATTGAGAAAGGCAAGAGAATCAGGACACCACACATTTTAACATGTGAGACAATGAAAAGTATTTACTAGTTGAGGAGAACACGGGAACACAAATCCATAAAGTATTATTAGACTTTACAAGCATGCATTGGACACCAGTGAGTGCCTGAATTCTTCTCCTAAGCCTCTGTCGCTGTTCCCATTGTGCCAGCACAGGTCAGGTTCTCTTCCACTCCTGCCTGGTTAGTCCGATGGTGGCTTCTTTGCTGCTTGCCTCTATTCTGTCCCCAATCCATTCTCACCTCCACAGCTCCCTCAGCTCTAATCAAAGCATGGCACTCTGCAGTCTCCTATGTAAATATTATGTATCCATTACCAATATGCGTAGAATGCCCTTGATGACATGATGAAACGTCATTTAATTTAATATGTTGAGCAAATATCTATGGTGCTTATGGTTGCATGGTCTTTGCTGGGTGCAGAAGACATAATCGTAATCAACCTAGGCCCCCTGCCCTCACAGAGCTTGCATTCCAGGGGTGATCTTGCTCAATGAAGTAATAAAAGTAGGATACTCATCTAAAAAGAAAGCACCAGAACGATGTTGGATGGTTTCAGAAAAATAAGCTCATCTATGGGAATTTCTACTATAAACCTTGGTTCACAATGACAGCAAAAGATTGAAAAGACCACCAACTCTTAGAAAAAAGTCCATCTAAATATGGTCTATGGAGCAGCTACAGCCAGACTTCAGGCCAATAGCTAATTTGTACAAAGTTCTAGAATTCTTAATTGTTGAGTAAGTTATTTTTTAACTGCATTCTCATCATCCAAGATGATTTTTGAATCCCAGCTAGATCCACTCCTGGTATTAGCAACGTTGAGGCATTTGGGTGAATTTCTAAAGAATTCAATAAACATTTCTCTGGCCCCTGACTACCTCTCCATATTCATCACCCCCTGCTTTCCTCCCTCATCCTGTGCTTCAGCTGGCTGGAGAACTTTCTCTCATCTCCAAGCCTGTGTGAGTCACAATTCCCTTTCCTAACACATCATCATAGTTTCTGTGTTGAATGATCTCAAAGGTTTATGTGAGAAAAAGGGCTGGTCCCCAGGCTGGCTAAGCTTGGGAGTGGTGAGACCTTTAGCAGGTGGGGCTGATGGAAGGTCCTTAGTTACCAAGGGCAAATACTCAAATGGGACTATGGAACCCTGATTCCTTTCTCGTTTGCTCTTCCCATCCTGGCTCACAATGTAAGCAGTTCACTCCACCACTTGCTCCCTGCCATTGACACCCAGCACCCCCACCAGGGCCAACCCACCAGCAACACCCATGCTTGGATTGGAAGCACCAGAGCTGTGAGCTAAATAAACCTTTTCTCCTCTAAGTTAATTATCTCAGGCATTTCATTACAGCTATAGAAAGCTGACTGCTACACCCTGCTGTCAGCTTCCATCTCCCTTTGTCTGGATATCCTGTACTAGTCCTTAGGTCTCAGCTTAGATGGTGTGTTTTCCAAAGAAGCATTTTTTGACCCCCTCTGAATAACAGGCACTTAGTGGTGAATGTCTGATGGATAAATGAAAGATTTATTGAGAATGCCAGGCCTCTTATCTATTTTGAAAAACAAGAAGACTTTCATTAGAAATCTTCCAAGAGAAAAACTGAGAGGGTCCAGCTGTTTTTCTTTCACACAGCACCACTCTATACCTTTTCTATAAACTCCGGGTAACCATGAAAAAGCATGGGGTGAGGGGTGAAGTGGTGAGAGCCGTATCATACAATTTCATTTCCTTTGTGATGATTCTGTATGCAAAAGTGTAATAAGAAAAACAAACATGATTACCACTGATCAGACATTTCCAATTATGCAAGCAAATTAAGGTTCAATTACTACTGTACTTTTTAATGCAATTAAGGTAATACATGTTCAGTGTAGATTATGGAGTAGTGTGAGACACAGACATTATGTTTTAATACCTTCTCATTATACTTGCTTAACTTATTCAAGAACGAAGACTCTCCTGACCAGGACACACCCACATTTGCACTGAAAGAACCTTTTGTCGGGCCTATGCCGATGGTTATTCCATTTGACTGAAATTTGTCATTTTTCACTTTAGAAAGAAGGTCATTTGCATCATCATACATCTCTGAGGTCATTCCAGAATCTGCCAAGGCCTGAAAAGATACAAATCAACATTAGCTTTGTACATATAGAGCTATTTTTCATTTTATACTTAGCATTTAAATCTTTACTTCCTAAAATATCTAAAGTTTCAGATTATGATAAGAAATTCTTTGAAAAAGGCTAATCCAGGTATCAGATTGATATTCACTAAAATGCATAAAACACAGCAATGTTAGTTGGTATTTAGTGGTACATCTAAAATAGATATCTATTCTGATAAAATGCTATGTTGGTCCAAGTGTGGTTCTTTCTGGCTGGGTTATCCTTCCTGGGAAGGGGTGCTCACCTCTGCAATGTGAGGGACAGTGAGCCATGAGCAGGCCCAGCCTGGGACGAAAGGGGCAAGAGAGCTGGCAGATTATGATCCCCAGAGCCAGGGATGGCGAACCTTTCAGAGCTTTCAATGACAGCAGCCAGCCAGCTGTGGCACGTACACCATAGGTTCACCACCACTGACCTAAGCAGGGGTGTGTGCTTCAGAGCTGCCCACAATGTTCAGTTATTCCAGGCCAGGCACAAAATGGCTTGCATCTCTCTGCTGACTTCAGATCTGAGGCGTGGTCTCTGACTCTGGAGGCCAGAGTGTGTGAGTCATTGAGTCCTTGGCTCCAAACTCCCAAGAGCCTGTGTTAAACAAGTCCCTCAGTGCCTGTGATTCGCTTTCCTTTCCCCCTGAGGATGTACAGGTAGCACTAGCAAGCTTCAGGCCACTGGGACTTGAGAATCCTTTGTGCCCACACCATAGCTGAGTCTGTCCTTTTGTTTATTTTATGAAAAAAACCCTAAAATTTCATAACAAAATAATAAGAGAATAACAAGTTACTACACTGTGTCTCACTATCTTCAAAGTAGTTACTCAGAGTACAAGACATGGACAAGAAAGATTGTCTTTTACAAAGAAGAAACAGATAATAACACAAAACTTTCTTTTCAATGAAGTAAGAGAAGCTAGTCATATAAATGAAACAAATTAGCATATATATTAAAATATTTTTGAAATAATGGAATAGGTAATTTGGGGACTTATTTGAATTTCTCTCTACTTCCTATTTATCTATCTTCTTTTTTGTTCTTCATTATATATATATATATATATATATATATTTTTTTTTTTTTTTTTTTTTAGTTTCTAGTCTGTCTTGCCTGACACATAGACCATTGGTCTTCCCTGAGATTAGGAAAATGACCTTGTGTCTTCCAGTTTGGCCTGACAGGGGATAGAGGGAGGCATAGGACTGGAGAAGAAAACTGCTTAAAACAGAGCCCACAGGTCTGCCATTATCTTCTGTCAAAAATCTTCTCTTAAGAAATGGAATGGAAGGGACATGGATGTGGAACCATTCAAAATCCCATTGTTCTGACAGCTATTGCTATAGATATGATGTATATGATCTATAATCCGCCTCGGTTTAGACTGATTGGGGATTGAATCTTATCTCTGCCACTAAGCCCAGTACAGCTCTGGACTGATATTTTATTCCTTTACCCCTCCTTTTTAAACTAATCAAGTGGGACAATGGTAATATCTACCCCACTGTGTTGTTAGGAGAATTAAATGGGGGAATTTGTGTGGAAGCAGGAGGTCTGACACAGGATAAGCCTTCGGTGGTGGTGGCTGTGTGGCCAGCTCACCCAGAGGATCAGGGCCAGGGGATGGCTGGGCTCAGCAGGGTCTGGAACTGATCTGCCAGACCAAGAGAGAGCACAGGGTCTTAGAGATGGGAGTCTGAGGGATTGTCAGCAATTTGTGAGCACTTTCGAACAGAAGAAGCCTTTCATCGAACAAAAGCATAAACCAAAAGCAAGACACAAAAATGACCAGTGTGAGCAGGGTGTAGGTCTCTGAGCCCTGCACCCCACTTTCCAGATGAGGGAAGTAGTAGGCTCAGGGAGGGACACCAAGTAGCTGCTTGTGGCCTTGCACAGTGTCTAAAGGAGCCACAGCGGGCACACAGAGGATTTGCAACTCTGGGATGGAGCCGGGTAGGTTTCGTTTCACCTTCCCCTGGCCTGACCTTCCTTCTCACCCCCTGACATTGAGCAGGTGCTGGGGACAGGCGTGAAGGGGCCACCAGCAGCCTCCATGGAAAGTCAGCTTCCAGAGCAAGGCATCTGCACCGATAGGCCTCTGCCTCCTGCCGGCCTCCAGAGGCCCGAGTGTCTCTGTTCCCTTACTTCGAAATGGTACTTCAGGAAGTTGTAGGGCTTCCGGAAGTACTTCTCGTCGTCTCCGTAGTAGAGGCGCTCGCAGGCCGGGTCATAACGGAGCTCCCTCCATTCCCCGTTGTACACTGTCTCACACTGGCCTCCGTAATATCTGGCATCGTACACGCTCTGAGCTTCTCTTTGGGTCAGAATATTGTACCTAAGTTGAAAAGACAGCTACTGGGGGAGAGCTTTGGAAAGGCAGAGGCGGTCAAATGTGTCAAGAGGTCATTGTAACCGGAAGTTGGAGCAGTGGTTTCTCAAACTGTGTTCTGTGAAGTCCTAGGGTTTCTCCAAGTACTTTAAGGGTGCACTGGAGACCAGGCAATGCTGAGAACTGAGTGGATTTGTCCTGGGCAACCAGACCATCCAGATGGCTCTGTTCAGCACCTGGACCAGGGCCCGTATGTAGGATCTCAGAGATGAGCAAAGTTAGGGAGCTCACATTTTATTGTCAAGACATCTTTGGGGGGAAAAATCCATCTTTGACTTACACTTAATTTTTTTTGAACACATAATATCGTAGAGTAATGTAATGAAAAATATATGACCCAAATATTCCCCTTCTGGGTATGTTCCCAAAAGAATTAAAAGCATCATACCACAGCGATACATGCACAACCATGTTTACAGCGTCACAGTTTGCAATAGCTAAAGCTTGGAAGCAGTCCAAATCCCCATCAACTGGTGAGTGGATAAAGAAGATGTGGGGTTTTTTTATAGAATGGAGTACTACTCAGCCATAAAGAAAGATAAACTAGAAACATTTGTAGCTAAATGGATGAACCTTGAGGCCGTACTCTTAAGCAAAATAAACAGGATGCACATGTATAAATACTGAATTATTTCTCTGGTATGAGAAGCTGAAAGTGTAAATGAAGACCAAAATGTATAATAGATAATGTGAAATAGGAAGAAAATGTAAAAAGGGGAAGGAGAACTGGGGAGGGTGAAAGAAAAAAATGAAAGGAAAGAAAGAAGGAAAAAATGGAAACTAAGCTTATGTATATAAGGAGGGGTGGAGGGGTTGAAGGGAGGGAAAGGAAATGGGAAAAAATAAAAACCAAGATTTATCATGTACAGGTACAAATCCCCAATGATGAATTCATCATAAAGTATATCTTAAATGTACCAATAAACTTAATGAACAAACAAAAAGAAGAAAACATGTAGTTATTAAGAGTCCAAGCACAGGAGCCAGTACCCCAGCTTTGCCACCTCTAGCTGTGTAACTCATCTCTCTGTGCCAGAGATCGCAGATCAGCCATTTGTAAAAAGCAAACAGTAATGCAGCCATCTCCATAGAGCTAAAAACCCAAGGAACCATAACTGAGCTTAGCACAGACTAAGTGCTGAATACATGCTGCTATTGTTACTATTCATGTTGTTTCAGAAAAGGGCTCTGCTGCTAAAGAGAAAGTTTGAAATGCTGGGTGTAATGCACAACACGAAGGTGAGGCCTGTAATCCTCAGAAGGACCAAGGCCCTGGAGGCAGCCCAGGATGGGAGATGTGCAAAGTGCAAGAGTCAAGGCGGTGCCTGTATAATTCCCAGCTCTGCCACTTGCTATGACGGACTGACTGTCAACAGAGCAAAAATACCAGAGTTGGCCAAGAGGTCAAAGTCAAAGTCTCTTATGTTATAGACAATAAAATTATCACTGTCTCTGTCTCCCAAGGTCCTATTTCACTGTGAAGATCCACCTGAGATGTCACCTCCTCTATGTGGCCTTCTCTGTGTGCTCAGGGCAATGTCCCATGGCATTCAGCAATCGCCTGGGGCTCAGTAGCCATCATGATTGTTTATGTGGCTGTGACAAGACACAGGGATAGGAAGGGAGCAAGGGATAAACTGAAGAAACTACCTCCAAGGACAAATGGATAATTACACAGCTCCTGACATACAGCAAGGATTCCATGTATGTTAACTTCTTTTCTGCTCTTTCTCATCTCTTTCTTCCTATTAGTGAAAGTGAAGCATTAATAGCTATGATGAATTGAATACATACTCAACTAGACATTTAGCATACATTAACTTTCAACTTCCTGACAGTTTTGCAAATGCAGAAATTAAACCTCAAAAAAATTAAGTAACTTGCCCATAGTCAACGCTGAATTTTTTCCCCTAAGGTTTTTTTGACAGTAAAATCTGGGTTCCTTAAGTTTATTACACGCCATAGTTTCTACCTACCTACTTAGTGAACATGTTTCTGCCTGTAGCTTATAAATACAACTTCTTTATCAGGCAAAAAATAAAAATCTCAAAGCAACAATGAGCCCTAAGATTGTACTGTATCCACTAAACAATAATAAAATCAGTGCAAATGCCCCCATCTAAATAAAATTATCATCAGAGACATTCTACCTCTTGGAAATCTACCATGTGGAAATAATTACATGTGTGTACAAAACTATTTATACAAAAATATTCGTTGTAACACTGCTTATAAGGGGAAAATGGGAAAGAATCTAATTCTCCTTCAATCGTAGTCAAATAAATTATTCTGTAGTTACAGTGTAGTAGAGTCAGCAAACATTCCTTTTTAAAAAATAAAAAATAAAGGTCCAGATAGTGCATACCCAGGCCATAGATTTGTGTTGCAACTGCTCAACTCTGCCATTGGAGGGCAAAAGGAGCATTTTAATAAAATTTTTATTTCTGAAAACAGCAGACTGAATTTTGCCTTCTGCTCAGTTTTGTTGGCTCCTGTTATGGAACGTTATATTGATTAGAAAAAAAGGAGACAGAGAAACTGGGTGTGGTGGCACAGGTATAGCCCTAGATATTCAGGAGGACTGTGAGTTTGAGACCCGACAAGGCAGCACAGCTCGACCTTGTCTTAGGTAAAAAGAAAAAAAGTGGGTGTTGTGTGTGTGTGTGTGTGTGTGTGTGTGTGTTTGTAAATGCAGAAAACACCAAACATCTCTGAACAGATTTTTTAAAAAGAGATAGAAGGGCCAGGTGTGGTTGCGAACACCTTTAGTCCCAGCACTTGGGAGGCTGAGACAGGAGGATCACTGCCAGTTTGAGGCCAGCCTGGGCTACATATGAGTTCAAGGTCAGCCTGAATTACAGAACAAGACCCTGTCTCAAAACTTCAAAATAAATAAATAAATAAATAAGAGTAAAGGAAGATAAAAAATATTGGGGTTTCAAACTATATTATTAAGTGAAAAGGGTAAGTACAACAGTATGTATGTCATGATCACATTTATGTAAAATTTACCTACATTTACTGCAATGTACAACACATATAGATTCATTTCTACCCAGTACCTACTCTCAGTGCACTTTTAAAATCTAATCAGGAAATACCTACATCCAGCTGTTGTCAGGAATCAGCTCCAAGCAGGGAATGACAGGACACTGGGTGAGATACAGGTTGGCAAGGGTGTTCAAATACTCGGTTTTCACCCCAGACGTGCAATGTTTAACAATAAGTTAAAATTGGAAACTAGGAAATGTTTAAATTAGAAAAAAATAGGGTCTGAAGAAAGATCTCTGAGACCTTGGGGTAATCAAGATGTCAGCCCCAGAGGCGGGGCAGGGGCTCTTCCGGTGTGGAACTTCCGGTGTGGAACTTCCGGTGTGGGCACTGCCAGTGAGCAAAGCTGCCACCCAGAAAGAGTGTGGGAAATGCTCCTGGCTGGGGGAGGTGGGAGCGGGTCTGGCCCAGTGGTCCTTTGGGCAGGGGGCGGGACTCTTCCGTAGCTCAATGCCTGCACATTCCATGCTTCTCCTGTGTTCTTTGCACTTTAAAATCAACAAGAACCCCCTTCAACTGTGTGATGGGCTGAATGTGTCTCCCAACACTCACAGGTCGAAGTCCTAACCCCCATAACTTCAGAATGTGACTGTACTTGGAGACAGAGTCCTTAAAGGAGTAATTAAGTTAAAATGAGGTCACCAGGTGGGCCTCTATCCACGTGCATGGTATCTTCGGAAGAAGATGAAACCGGGGTACAGACGTGTACAGAGGGAAGAGCACGTGAGGACCAGGGAGATGCTGGCCATCTACAAACCCAGGAGAGGGGCTCGGAGGAAACCTCCACTGCTGACATCTTCACCTTAGCCTTCTTGCCCCAGAGCTATGAAAAAGTACATTTCTGCTATTTAAGCCACCCAGCTTGAGATATTTTGTTGTGGAGATGTGAAAGAAAGCGCAATGTGCTCATCTTTTTAGATGTGTGTGTCCACACGCACTCCCAGGCTTCGGTCCCATCTGGTAGGTGGGCTGTGATCCCAGAGCAGTGAAACACTGCCAGGAAGAGTTCACACTCGTCCCTGCATGGGCTGCAGCGTGGCTGCGCCAGCACAATAACTGCACCCCCCCCCCATTTCCTAATCTGTAGGGAGCCACCTGGTCACCGTGATGTGTTTGAGGTAGCTGAAGCTCAGCAAGCAGCCTGTAAGATAAGCTCTGACACAGGCTGACAGGACATAGACAGGACAGTCAGAAGTGACCTGTGCTCTCAAAGAGGGATCAGGAGGCAATGGCAGGGACCTGACAATACCAGAATGCCACTCTGAGCTAGGCCTGTGCTGGCACCTGCAGCAGCAGAGATGGCAAAGAGCTCTCCACCTGGGGGGACGTCCTCAGCCCTGTGGGTCCGTGCTGGGTAGTAGGGTCAGCAAGAGTCTGGGAGCAAGAGGAGGGGGGCAAAGCCAGCCCAGCCAGAATCGGGGCACTGTCTGCCAAGGCTGTCCAGAGGGGATAGACCTACAGGAACGGTGTGCTCAGACACCTGCCTTAACAACCTATCACCAATTGCCAGCTGAAAGTATGGAAATGTATTTTCTCACAGTTCTAATGGTCGGAAGCTCAAAATTCAGGTACCCTCATGTTGGCTGCTGGTGACCTGCTTCTGTGTCCCCACTTGGCTCCTTTTCCATGTACATGTGGAAAGAGAAATCTCTGATTTCTCCTCCTCCTCTTCCTCCTCCTCTTCCTCTTCCTCCTCCTCTTCCTCTTCCTCCTCCTCTTCCTCTTCCTTCTCTTCCTCTTCCTCCTCCTCTTCCTCTTCTCCTTCTCTTCCTTCTCTTTCTCCTTCTTTAAACACCAGCCGTGTTGGATCAGGCCTACCCTTAGGACCTCAGTTAACTTTATTTACCTCCCCAGAATTCCCAGCTCTGAATCAAGTCACTCGGGGAATTAAGGCATCAACACAAGACTGAGGGAAGGCGGGGTGTGCATAATTTAGTTCCTCACCTAGGTAATGAGTTAGCCAGATTAGAGCTATGGGGGAACACGTTTCCAAAGGAAGGAACTAAATTTATTAAGGCTCAGAAGAGCAGAGTGATGCTTTCAAGGAGCTGAGCCTGAATGGACGGTGGGTGATGAGGAGAAATTAGGATCAAGATTAAATCAGCTTTAATCTCAACAGACAACACAACTGTAGCCTGGGAGTAGAAGCGAGCAATGGCAAAGCAGAGGTCCAAGGTCCTCTGTGTCTCACTAGAAAGCCCATGACTGTGGACGGGCTACCTGAGGGAACACATGTGTCAAGGATGTGACATCTTTGGGGAACTCAGGGAAGGCTGCATGGAAGATGTGGCTGCTCAAAGGAGCCTTGGGAATGGAATCAGCTGAAGGAGGGGATGGTGGAGTAGGAGGGGAGACAGGAGAGGAGTCCCCCGCACAGACAGATGGTTAGGACCACGCAAGCCACCTCTGGGGACTGTGAGAGCTGCTCACAGGTGCACCCAGAGGAACCCCCCAGAACAGGCCCTGTGTGTCCCCAGAACCCATGCTCATGACAGAAGGGAAGTCATTCCTTGCCCCTGAGTAGCTGTGAGCCCGGGCAGCACGCTCTCACCCCAAGGCCGCCCTCTCTGATCCTGGAATCGGGTCATACTGGCTGCAGTCGTCTTCAGGGGCCCTGGTGTCTTCACAGCCGTCCTCATCAGAGCCATCGAGACAGTCACTGTGTCCGTTACACACAAGGTACCGTTTCAGGCAGCGACCTGAGGGAGGAGAGGGTGTGGAGGCCCTGGACCGCTCCCCTGTTCCAGTCACCCAGCCTTTCCACCAGGAGGCAGCCCTCCCTGCTCCACGCTGCCTGCTCTACCCTCCTTGCAGCCGCACTAACTCCCACCTGTAGGCCCCAGCTCCGCATTCCCCTGTGCGATCTGCCTCCACACTGCAGCCCTCCATGCCCCTTGCTCTGTGTCTCCCAGTGGCTCCACATCCCTCTTCCTCCAAACACCACAGCGCAGCCCCCTGTTACCTGCCTGACCCCATCTCCCATCTCTCTTTCCAAAACTCTGATACCACAAATACCCCGGAACGGACTGAGAGTCCCTGAATCCCCACGTTTTGCATGTTCTTTGTCTCAGAACTTCAGTTTTATTTCCCAAGTCTCAGCTGGATGCTGCAAGGAAGTCTACCCTGACTCCCCACACCAGATCTAGGCACCTCCTTAGAGACCCATGTGACGGTGTCCACATGCGCATTACAGCGACTGTCCCATGACACTGTAGTCCACTCCTCTTTCATCTCCTGAACTGGCGCGGAGAACCTCAAGGTCAGGTGCATTATGTTTTCATCTTTATATTAGCAGCACATGGTACACTGCCTGGCACATACTATGTGTCCAATAAATACTTCTTCAATGAGTGGATGAAGTGTACCTTTTCATGGTCTGCCAACAAATGTTCCTAGACTTTAATCAAAATTACTTGGGCTAATGCCCATTGACTGGAAACTGGATAAAGAAGATGTGGTATTTTTATAAAATGGAGTACTACTCAGCCATAAAGAATGAGAAACTAGAGACATTTACAGCTAAATGGATGCATAGTGAGGCCATACTCTTAAGTGAAATAAATAGGACACACAGGTGTAAATACCGAATAGTTTCTCTAGTGTGAGAAACTGAAAGTGTAAATAAGGATGAAAATGATTAAAATGAATAATTGATAATTTGAAATAAGAAAAGGTCCAAGGGTTTGGGGATGGTGGAAGGGAAAGGAGAAAGGGAAGAAAAAATTATTAGGAAAAAAAAAAATGGCATCAAACTCTGTGTAGATAGGGAAGGGTGGAGGGGGTGCAGGGTGCACAGGTAATGGGAGAAAAAATAAAAATTAAATGCATCATGTTCTGGTACAAACACCCAATGATAAATGCAAATGTATTTTATACCTAAAATATACCAATAAATATATATATTTTTAAAAAGTTACTTGGGCTGCTGGCTTGGCTTAAAATACAGGTTCCTAGGTTCCATCCCAATCCTTCAGAAAGTAGACCTCTAAGGGAAGGGTTTACAGTGTACATTTTTTTTTTGGTACAGGGGATCGAACTCGGGTCTTTGCGCTTGCAAGGCAGGTGGCAGAACCACTGAGCTAAATCCCCGGCCCCTACAGTGTACACTTTAACAGGATCCCTTGGGAAGTGTTTTGCATGTTAAATTTGACAAGCACAGCTGGCCTCGCACTGAATGCTACTTACCTGTCTCTTTACACTGGAAATCCTGTCCACACTGTGGTTGCCTTAGACAAGGTGTAGGACTATTGCAGCTGGCTTGATCCCACATATCACCGCTGCAGATGGTTCCCCCAAACTTGCCTGGCTGCAGGAGGCTCCGGTATCGGTACTAAATCAGATTGTGAACCAGACACATTCCTGTCAGTCAACCGAGGTTTGTGCAAGTGGATCTCAGCGCGACAGAAGGAGCAGTGGCTGTGACTGAGAGCTGCCTACAAAGCTGGCCCCCGAGGGGCGGAGGGGCACTAACTGTCATGTGCTGCCAGAGGTGGCACTGTCACCAGCTGGAGAACTGAAAAAGAACTCCCAGCAGCCTGTGACAGACTGGGACAAAGACCTCTCAAGGATCTTCCTCTTGCTGGGAAGGACCTCTGCTCCTTTCTTCAACTGGTCAATCAACATTCATCTTTCCAGGGCTGGGGATTTAGCTCAGTGGTTCTGCTGCCTGCCTCGCAAGCGCAAGGTCCCGAGTTCGATCCCCGGTACCAAACAAACAAAAACAAACCTTCATCTTTCCAGATTCATGGTTTACCTCTCCTGCAAAGGCTTCCTGACTCTGCCACATACTCTGGGCTCTGTGTGCTTCCCTCTCTCCCAGCACCTGTCACACGTGAAGGAGCCTCCCCTGTTTACCTGTCCCTCCCACCAGCCTGTGAGCAACATGGACATGAAGGAAAGACCTACTTGGCCTCAGCCACCAGGCGCCTGACCAGATATGCTTTTAGGGGACATTTGCAGCATTTCTTCTGGTCACATCAAGCCCTCTTTTCTTGGGCTATGTCTCCTGTGGTTCCAGTGGGGAGACCTCACCCCCTCAGTCACAGGGATGTGTGAGTATTAGCCAGGCTGGGCCCACCAGGTAGACACATCTGCCTAGTTGTAATGATTGCTCCAATCCTATGGGTATTTTGTTTTTTGGAAAGAGAGCTTCTTTTTACTGGAGTTGCAAGAGATGTGGGCATCATCTTGCCTATTCTGCAGAAAGAGTCCACCCAAGCTGAAAGAAACCAAGAGAACTCTGAAGTCATCATCCGAATTGCTGGGTCCAGCACTGACTGCAGATGAGTATATATTGGTTGATGGGAGGAAGAGAATTCAAATGTGCTGGACTTGAGGCGTTATGGTTTCATAATAATGCTTTTTATACAGTTTTCGGTATCAGGTCCCAGTGTAAAAGGAGGAAGCTGAAGACTAGTATCATCAGAGAAATAGGATGGCCTATCTCTGCCTTCCAGATGATTAGAGTCTAGTCGAGGAGATGAAAAATGTAACAACACAAAACAAACTGTGCAGAGATCACCGATACAGAGTGTCCAGTAAAAAATTATGTAGCCCTGTGCTGCCCTGGATGTTGGTTCAGCCCACAAGCCCTTCCTTCAAGCATGTTAGTGTGTAAGAAAACCATGAGCCAAGCAGCAGTGACTTCCTGACTGAAATCTATTTCTTGCTTGCTATATGAAGTATTCATTTCTAGTACTTTGTGCCTCAGTTTCCGTGCCTGTAGCATGGGGTGGTTGGCCCAAGTGACCTCACTGATTACAACAACTAAAGATTCTTTCACTTGTGTCCGAAACTGACTGAACCTGGCCACGGGAATTAGTGGACTTCAGTTCAGATCCTAGATTTGCTCACCAACTGATAATGGGCAGGTTACTTACCTCTCCTGAGCTTCTCTGTTTCCTACAGTGGAGGGACTGGGTGAGATCTAAGTGGCAGAAACATGGGAGGGTGCACTCAGCCCTGTGCCTGGTAGATCATTGGTGTCTAATCACTATCATTGTGCAGGAAGTCTTTTCCAGATGACTTCCAGGGAAATGCTGGGGAGAAGGGCAATGTACTTATCCTCTTGGCCTGTAGTAGACCTTTTTCTGTTGCCAAAAACACAAAATCACAGACTCGGCAAATTATAAAGAAAGGAGAATTAATTCCGTTTATGGTTATGGAGGTACAAGGTCCAGGGGCTTTAACTAGATGGGGATGGCACTTTTGCTGCCAGAGTCCCAAGGTGGTGGTACAAGGCAGGGTATTACATGGTAATGGAAAGTGTGCGTGTGTGTGTGTGTGTGTGTGTGGTCTGTCTGTCACAAATGACCTAATCAAATCCTAATCACCTCAAAAGGCTCCACCTTGAAGCATCATATTTGGGTTAAGTTTCTACCCTCTTAATACCTCATCATGAGAATTAAATTTCAGCACATGAAGACTTGGGATCCCTTATAGCATATTCTCACCGTAACAGTCCTGCCTCTGTCTACTTAGCTCCACATTGGCACAGAGGCAGAAGAAACAAAGAGAGGTGAAGATGGAACCTCTTTTCCTGCCTTTCCCTTAACAGTGCTGGTCTGGTCAGAAGTTTGTAAACTCTATGCAAGGAGGTTTTAATTCATGACCAATGATGTCTTAATGATCAATTTAATTACGACCAATTTGGGCATATCAGATATGATTGTTAATTGTGATATGTCAATTTGGCTTAAGTAAGAACTGCCTAGGTTAGACAAGCTCTGTGAGTGTCTATGGATGATCGGCAGGTAGGCCACAAAGTGAGGAGGGAAGACCTACCCTGGGTGTGAGTGGAGCCAACCAATAAGTTTGTACCCTGGATGGAATAAAAAGGAAAAGAAAAAGAAAGTCTCCTCTTTCATCTTCTTCAGAGCTCCAATCTTTGTCATTGCTTTTGGGCTTTTATATCCAGTTCCTTCAGCCTTCTGGCACAGAATCTTCAGCCTTCCAATGCAGACCCTTTGGCTTTCCGACATGGACACACACTGGACTCTGCAGTGAACTCTAGGCCTGTGATCGTCCGCTGGATCCTCCACCTCTCTAGCATGAAGGCGGCCATTTTGCATTGTTCCACCCTGGATTCCACAAGCAGCCATTATAAGCCTGCCTTGTAAATCCTCTAGCGAAGCCAACTAGTATATCAGAATATTTCTATTTCCTCCCCACAATCTTATCCCTCTGTATGCAAATACAGGAGTGAAGAGTGTTCTCATGTACAGTGTGTTCTCGTTCTCACTTTTAAAAAGTATATCAGCTTTTTCACTGATGTAGTTACCCAGAGGACAACAATGGCAATAAAGCCATCATCAGTGCTGATGGTGGCCACATGCTTCACCTTCTTCATCGCATTTCATCTTCACAACTTCATAAGGCTTCACAAGTTCATAACTTGCTGTTGTGAATCCCATTTTAAGCTGGGTTAGAGTTCCAGTTCTGCCACTGACTGTACAGACATTGCTGGGCGAGTTGGTTGGTGTCTCAGGCCCTCGGTTTTCTCATTTGTCACGTGAGGTGTATGTGACAGTGTTGGCAAGATGAGTGATCATACGCGTAACAGCATTCACATGCTGCCTGGCTCCTGGAGTACTCTCAGGAATAGCAGTCATCAACGCCACCGCCACCCTCATACCAGCTGCGGGCAGCTCTAAAAGGAAGAGGGTCAGCTGACTGCCGGATGTCACTTACTCCTCCTCCACACGGGCATTTTGTTTGTTTTTTGAGACAGGGTCTCACCATGGAGCCTGGGCTGGTTTTGAACTTGTGATCCTCCTGCCTCAGCCTCTGAGTGCTGAGCTTGTAAGTGGCAGTAGGGAGGAGTGGTAAATCTCCCAGGGTTTCAGAGTTGGACTGACCAAGGATCAAATCTAGGCTCTGCTGCCTTAATGTGTGACCTACACAAAGTGGATGAGGCCGTGTATCCTTTTCAGTTGGAAGAAGATGTCCAACTACACAATCTATTCATTTAAAGCATTAGTGCCATGCCAGGTCCATAGAACATATGTGATAAATGGCATTTGATAATATTTGATATTATATTTGATGAGTGCCATATATTTGATGAGTGCCATCTCGTCCCTTCTGTCGTTCCTATGCTTGGAATCGACTCTGTAGGCCTTCAGGTTCATTTCCATCGGATCCCCGCTTTCTAGGTTGCTATCAAAATGAAGATAGGGTCTGCAGGCAGGTCGGTGCCACTACTCCCACGGGGACGTCTCCGTGCTTTTGCCTGTGTTTGGTGTCATTAAGACATAATTGTCTTTTCTAGCTCATAGATGATGTTTCCTTCCAGAAATGCACATCTTTGTTTGGGTGATTTTTAGAGGAAGAAACATATTAATAAAAAGAAACTAAGGTGGTCTTTTAGTTAAATAATTAACAGAATTTAATTATCTTAAGGATTGCTTTAAAGAAACACATGTCTTTTTGAGTCCCTAAAGAGGTAATTCAATTCCGATTTTAACTATAAGCAATTCACTTGTGTTATCTGCCATCTAAACTGAAATACATGAGAAAAAATTGGGTTTAGCATGTGTAATAGGTTGAATAATGGCCACACAAGGATATCAAATCCAAATCTGCAATACATGTAATGTGTCCTTGTGTGGGAAAAGGCTCTGTGCACAGAATGAAGGTTGCTGAGAAGTGATTACCTTAGATTAGCTGGGTGACCCTAAATGCCACCCCCTCGTCCTTACAAGAGGAAAGCAGAGGGTGATTTCGGGCAGACACAGAGGAGAAGACACACAGAAGAGGGGGAGGCCAGGTGACCAGGAGGCGGAGACTGGAGCGAGCACAAGTTAAGAATGCCAGCAGCCCCCAGGAGCAGGAAGAAACCAAGAATAGATTCCCCAGCACCCTCCGAAAGGGAGTGTGGTCCCGTTGACACCTCAGTTTCAGACTTCTGGTCTCCAGGCTGGGAGCGAATGCATTTCCATTATTTTAAGCCGTCAAGTTCAGGACATTTTCTGTCACCCTGACTCGGGAAATGGATACCAGTTTCAGGGCAAAATGAGAGTTTGGGGCCCAGAAACCTTAAACAAGGGCAGTCCAGGGTCCTCTGGAATTTTTCACAAATGAAGGGAACAAAATAGTAAATTTCAGGCTTTGAAACTGAATAAACTAGGTCCAAATTGTGTTTCTACTACTTCCTAGATCTGTATTTTTGAACAACTCATAAAAGACATCCACAGAGCAACCGTGGGTCCAGCCGAGGCCTGGGTCTGGATTGAGACTGGCCCTCAACAGAAAACAGGGTTTGATCCAAGGCCCTGGGGGCAGGCTTGAGAGGACAGTGCAGGCAGAGTTCTAGACAGCTCATTGCCTAGCAAACGTGTGTCAGGAAAGATACTTCACGTGCATCGGTCACTTAATGCTCATAATAACTCTAGACCGTAGGTACTGTTATGACTCCCATCTCCATATGAGGAAACGGAGCCACAGAAAGGATAAATAAAATATGCCCAAAGAATCGCAGCAGATAAGAGGCAAAGCCAGGTCTAAGCTGCAGAACTGAAGCTGAAACACTGGAACTTGACATTAAGGGCTGAGCGAAGGCAGCAGCGTTGGCAGCTAGGTGGGGACTGGGCACATCCCAGGGAAACAGCGGATGGTAGATTGCTTTCCAGCATCGCCGAGAGCCAGTGATTCTGCATAGTGCTAGAAATTTAACACTGCTCCCTGCCAGCACAGAGGGCTCCCAAGGTCTCCCTACCCTTCACACACCATGGGGTTCGGGACCCACTTTGGATCATTAAAAACTGCTTAGGTGAGCAAGACAGAACTCGCTCTGTCCCTCGGCTATGGCGGCCCTTTCAAATGCAGAGTGGAGCCTTGGGTGTACCAGCTGTGGCACAACCCAGTTATCTCTCGTCCCCCAGGGTAGCTTCTTATTTTGTTGCTCAGCTGCCTGCGAGCCATTTAGTATCTTGTTATTAAGTCTTCATCGGCCCTCTAGATGACCTTCACTAGAGGACAATAGGCCCAGGAAGGCCACTGCGGGTAAACGTGCCCACGCCAGAGGGTGCTTTTCTGCCTGTGACTGTAATGTGCACATAGCTCATAGCCTCACCCGATGGTGCCTCACAAACCAAGCTGGGAGAGGCAGACACCAGTTTCACCATCCAGGTGCCTGAGGTTCCCAAATACCTATTTTTCTAGACACACCTTCCCCAGAACTCCATGTTGATAGCCCCAGCTGCTTATTTCCATTTGAATGCCTAGTCCACAGATCAAGTCAGAAATTCTCCCCAACTGGCCACAAACGCTTTACCTTTCTGTGCTGGCAAGGAAAGCAGTCTGTCCACTCCGACCAGTCGCTTAGCTGGCAGGAAACTGCTGCAGGGGTCGTGGCGGCTCGACTCACTCTCCTAAATGCAAGAAGGAACCCTGAATCAATTCTGAAGTGCAAAATTTAAGCAAAGGAGGAAGCTGTGCGCATTTTCCTGCCTCTAAGGGGAAAGGAGGAACAAACATTTAGTGTGCTCTCATCATATGCAGACCCAGCACGACAGGGTTTGCGTACAGGATCCCTTTCATACCGCATCAGTTCCCAGCTCAAATGATTACCACTTTAAGGAGCTGAGTACTGGGGAGAGCTGACATTCTGCAAAGCCAAAGTACAGAAGTACAGTGGTCAGAAATGTGGGGTCCGGGTCCAGAGGATTGAGTTTCCATCTTACCCCCTTGGTGGCTTTGGAAACCTCAGCAAGTTACTTAACACGTCTGAGCTATAGTTTTCCAATCTATAAAATAATGTCAAAAATAACTCCCTGAGCCAGGTGTGGTGGGGCAGGAGCATGCCTGCAACCCCAGCACTCAGGAGGCTGACGCAGGAGGGAGGCCCCGAGTTCAAAGCCAGCCTGGACTACATAGTAAGTTCAGACTAGCTTAAACTACATAGTGAGATGCTGTCTCAACCCCTTGCCCCACCAAAAACATTACCTAAAGGAGTTATTGGAAGTATGCTAAAAGACCTATGAAGTGTTTGCTAAAAATTGACTTTATGCGATCAAAAAATAGCATGAATGTTTAAATTTTTTAGAAGTTTAAATGTATTATAATAAAAGATACACCGTTGCTAATCTCCTTCAGAATACTCCCTCTGGCTTCATACACACTTACCTCATCCTTCTTGCTACATTCTGAAGCAGTTCTGGAAGTCTTCTTTCACAAGTGTCTTTCCGTGACTGCCTGGATGCCGCGAATCAATTCAAGAAGTTTACGACAATTTTTATCAAATAAAAACATCATAGTGTTTCCTCATCCATCTTATTCACCAGATTTGACTCTTTCCCAAAGTCAAAATGAGCATAAGAAATAAACATTTTCTATTGATTCAGGACACAGAGGCAGCTATGGCAGCCCCACTAAAGACCTTCATGAAGAGAACTTCCAGAACTGCTTCAGAAACTAGCAAGAGGGATGGGATAAGTGTATTTGAAGCCAGGGGAGTATTTTGAGGGAAATTGATGGGAATGCATCTTAATACTGTAATAAATTTTTAAAGTTTAAACATTCACCTTATTCTTTGATCACCCCTCATATTACATGCTGGAACATTACCTGGACTACATCATTTAGTCACTATGATAAACTAGGAGGCAAATACAATTAGCCCTATTTTAAATATAAGAAGTTGAGATTTCTAAAAGTAAAGGAAACCTTGCAGTCATAGATGGGAGATGACAGAAGAAATATTTGAACTAGCTGGTTTACTGGTAAAGGCCACTTTCTGCTCCTCCTCCTGCCCTTGCCTGGTTTACAAATTGGAACTGAGAATTCCACCTTGGGAACGCAGGTAGAACTGGAAAATGCCTGCTCCCAAGGCTGTGAGCTTCTCCTACCCCATGCTGCCTCCTACAAGGTACAAAGCACAAGCTCCCTGCCCCTAGCCTCCTTCCATGGCACCACCACTACTGTGGCATCACAGAGCCAAGTCACCTACTGACTATGATTGAAAGATGGTCCTGAGCCAGTTCCACTGCCACAGCCTCAGAGCCAAGCATCCTGGCTGAGATGGAGAGCACAATTTTCTCCCTAGTTGAGGGGGAAATGCTTCAAATTTCATGTTACTTAGGCAATGAACTGCTATTCATTATAAATGATGACACTGAGGATGAAACCCTAGGAAAAAAGGTGTGAAACAGACAGGGAAACTATGCTGTCTTTTAGCACTGATTCTCAACCTTCCTTCTCTGCACCCCTTACATTCTTACAAATCATTCCAGACCCCAGCAACCTTTTAACGAGACCACATCTACTGATATTCACAGAATTCAAAATAAAAACTGAGATTTAAAAAATTTATTAATGTATTTAAAATTATAATAAAACTATTGCATATTATCATAAATAAAACAGCTTTATTAAAAAAATATTTGCTAGAAAAATACTTCGTGTAGAGTAACACTGGTATTCTTGCAAATCTCTTTAGTGTCTAGTTTAGCGGAGAGCAGCTAGAGTCTCAGTCTTGCTTCTTCATTCAGTCTGTTGCTATGTGTTGCTTTAGAGGAAGTCTCTGAAAGAAATCCAGCCTTGCACCATCGTGGAGTGGGACCAGAAGAACCATTTTCACCACCTGTCTGGATACCTGCAGACATTCTCTGGATTACAACTAAATGTGACCAGTGGGAATTTCTTCTGTGATGAGTGCAATGTGGAACCTGAGAGTGTCATACTTTGTGCTCAGGTTCAGCGACATGCATTGGTTTAGGTACATTTTGAATGGATCTTGGGCCCATGCATGATTTTTCTTTAACATCATGCATTAGAACTTTAGAAAATAATAGCTCACTGGGAATGCCTATCTTATAAATATTTACATATTCTATCATACAATAGGAAAAAAAATAAAGTTTGCTAATATCACCAGTGATTTCACCAAGCGCATGTTGGGCGATAAACTTTCATTTTGGCATGAAAGCTCAAATTTTGTCATTGGTAACAAATAAGGTTAACTTGTTTTTCTTGAACTGATAGGAGGCTGCCTGCATGTTTTGTGACAAGGTATGCCAAATATCTAAGCCTAAAACCCATAATTTGCCTGGCAGTTATTTTTGCCAAGTAAAAAAAGTGTTCTAGGAAAAACGTGGTCTTACGGACTCGATGTTAGCTGACCTTGACTTCCATGTGTTGAAACCTAAGCCACAGTGTGAGGAGATTCGGAGTAGGATCTTTGGGAAGTGAGTAGGTCGGGACAGCAGAGCCTTGTGAATGGGATTAGTGTCCTTACTAAAGAGATCCCAGAGAGCTTCCTTACCACCCTGCCCTGTGAAGACATAGCGAAAAGATAGGAGAGCGGCCAGACACTACCTCTGCTGGTGCCTTAAACTTGGACAACCAGCCTCCTAAACTATGAAAAGAAAAAGTCTATAATATTCATATAATTTACATGCCCTCCACCAGATTCATTCACTCTAAGCCCCATGAATGCAAATATCGGCCATGTATTTGCTACTGAAACCTCACTACCTATCATTGGCGGGTTCGTGGAAGGTGCTTGGTAAGTATTTATGAAAGAAAAAAAAGAAGGGATGGAAGGAAGGAAAAAAAAATCTGTTTTTTGGAAAACAGCAGTGACATTGACAAGAGCTTCATTTGAATGTGATTCCTAGTAAATATCTAATTAAATAGACTTGGCATGCAGAAATTCAAATGACTCCAGGTTTGACCCAGATGTCATTTTTCTGATAGGCTATCCTTATAATAAAAGTATGGTGCATGGGAACATGGAGAAAAAAAATGATTCTAGAGGTAGGGTGCAGGTTTGGGAACAGAGAAGAAACCAAGATTTTTTCTGCATCTCACTGTAGAATCTGTAGAATTGTTTTGTTGTTGTTGTTGATGTTGTTGTTGTTGTTGTTGTTTTTGGTACTAGGGATCAAACTCGGGACCTTGTGCTTGCAAGGCAAGCAGTGAAACCTCTGAGCTAAATCCCTGGCCCTCACTGTAGAATTGTATAGATAATGTCACTATAAGACTGCATTATGATGGCAAAATGGAAGGAAACAGTAATAATGGATGGAAGCAAAGCTAGATGGAGCATTGCTGAGTTGGTGCAGTTTTAAAAGCTTTGTGACATGATGCCTAGACAGAGGTATACACAGTCACACTATCTCTGAGGCCAAAGTACAGAGGTACAACAAAGCCATTCATTCAATCATTACAGGGCTCCAGCCTTCAGCCACTATCAAGATGGCCAACATTTCCTCTGTATTCCAAAGAATTTTTAATGTACTTTATTTTTTATGATTATAAAAATAATACAATCTCATTAAAGAAAACACAACAATGATTATGAAAGAAAAATTAACCCAAATCCTACCACCATTTATATCATTATGTCTTGTACCTAGATGTCCTTGCAAAGCCTCATGCACTCATAGGAGGGGCTTTTCAAAATTGGCTGGATCTAGGGGGTGTGACTATGGATTAAGGGTGTATAGTAACTGGATTAGTCTACAGACTGGATTGGCATAGTTCTGGATATGGCTGAACAGATTTACTGAAGATGAGGGCCCCACTCTGGCTGTGGATGGTGCTGATTAATGGGCTTGTAGCCTGGGTGGAATATTAAGGGAGACAGGGAATGCAGGCTCACTGCTCCCTTCCTGCCTGTCCTGCTACGGACTGTTTCTCCTCTGCCAGCTGACTAGGGAGCTAGCTGACTATGGACTAAAACCTCTACAAACTCCAAGCTAAAATAAGCCTTTCCTCCTTTCACTTTGGGTGTCAGGTATTTATCTAAGCAATGAGAAAGTAACTGAGACAGTTATATTTTCTCAGTCACACTGCGTATAATATTTTACATACTAATTTTTCCACTTAATAGTAGAGCAGAAACATAAACTACTTAGGGCTGAACATGTTTCATCTCCCTCATATTAAATGAATAGATTATTGACACCCCCCCCAGTTTTACTGTATTATGAGTTTTTATTTAAGAATGTATCTGTAGAGTGGAATGACTAATTTTAAGCTTATGACATGTCACCAAATGACTTTCCAAAGGAATTGTATCAATTTTTAAGTTACTTAATGCTATAGTGTAGTGTGGTTCATTCCCCAAAGCTTCATGTGCTAGAGCCTTAATCTACAATGTGAGGTGGTGGAGGGTAATTCTATCATGTCAGCAGTACCTTCATGAAGGGATTGATGCCATGTCATTAATAGAAAATAGGGCAGAATGTGGGGTGGCTCATTACAAGGATGATGAGTCTCAGAGTGATGAAGGAATTGAGGTGGAGAGGAAATCTGTGATGAATTTTATATCTTGTAATCACAAGGGTGCAGCACCATCTTGAAGAGATTAGCTTCTTTAAACCATTCCACATGGTAGAAGTGAGTTAGTGCCTGTGAGCATGGGTTA